CAAACCCTCCCCCCAAACCCCTCACCACGGATGTCGCCTCCTCCCACTCCTCCTCCAGCTCCTCCTCCTCCCACTCCCCCACCCCCTCCTCCTCCAGCTCCCCCACCGGCTCCGGCGCCAAGAACTCCTGGTGTCGCCACCCAACGACCACCAGCGCCTCCACCGCCACCAGCACCACCATTTGCAAAGCCACCGGGATACCGGGTACCACCACCGCCACCACCACCACCACTACCATCGTCTCCGTCTCCAAGGTCGACCGGATACTCGGTGACCCAGATGCCGCCACTGCCATCACCATCGCCGTTTCCACCACCAAGGTTTACGCCGCCGCCTTCGCCGCCACCAGCCCAGCCTCCGCCGCCGCGTGCTATCCGTCCCCTTTTCCGCGTCCTCTCTAGCATTCTGTCGTCATCACCCTCATCGATGTCGTTCCCTTTCCCACGCAACGGCGCATTTTCCCAACGCAAACTGCAGCAACAGCCGCAACCGTCGCAACGGCTGCCAACGGACTCGGCGGACGGAGAAATGGAGATCATCAGCACCAGCAGCAGCGCTGAGGTGCTGCTGCAGCAGCAAAGCCCGCCAAAACAAACCTCACCAGCAACCCTATCAGCACCAGGCACGTGGAGGCGTGTTCATGCGCCTTTGTCAGGAGAGGGGAGGGGGGAAAACGGACAAGGGAAGGGAACAGTACACCTTTGATCGTCAACCCCACGGGAAACCAAGTTAAAATAATGCAAATATGTGCGCGAGAAACATGTGATCCAGGTTAGGAGTGGAATATTTTTATTTGTGCTCGTGGATTCGCGTTGGCGCGTTGGCACGGTGGGGTATTTTGTGGCCTTTTGGGGACAGGTGTGTTGTGTGGAGCATATGTGTGGTGTGCCCATCCCAATCCTCGCACTTTCCCTTGTTGTTTTCGTTAATAGGGTGAATTTTTGTGTCCATCAATGCCTGACAATACCTTCCCCCTGTCCCCCACTTATCCATTTAACCTGACAATTTCCCCCACCCAACACACACACACACACACACACACACACACGTTGCGGTGTCTTGTGGCGTGTGTGCCGTCGCACTGCGTTTATTGCAGAAGAATCATCCGAAGCCACCCTTCACAGCCGCAACGATAATGGCACTGACAGTAACACCACCAGCAGCAGCAGTAGCAGTAGCAGTAGCAGCCTGCTCAACGGTCACCGGGCCGAGGTTCGCATTACCCCCTCAGCCATCATAGTCATTTCGGCGGGTGTAGGTGTGGCGCTGCTGGCCGCTGTGGTGGTGGGCACGTACCTGACCCGATGCAGGGACCGATGCGGCGGAAGGATGTGGGTGATTATGGGCGGCGGGGTAGCTAGGACTACAACCACCACCACCACCACCATTACGGCTAAGAGTCGGGACCCCGCATTCTCATCCACGCCGGGGCCTACTACGATTGCAGCACCAGCATTGCCGGCTTCGCCTCGGTCAAATAAGATCTTACCAACGGTGACTTAACGGTGGCCTGGGAGGGAGGAAAGGAGTTTCAAAGTCATTATAAACAATATGTTATGGTTACCACTCTCATCACCTGAATTCTTCATTTTTATTACTCGGAATCCGCTGGAAAAGGGGGAAACCGGCCGTAGCCATGCTCCAGATAGACAGAGAGGGAGGCAAAGAGAGAGAGAGAGAGTTCAGCGCTGTGTTATCGCGCGCACGTTTTCATCAACCGGCAGCAACAGCAGCAGCTGGCTGGCTGGTTGCACCGCAACACGCGCGCTCCCGCAGCGCTGCCTACTCTCCCAGCCCCATATTGGACAGCCTCTCGCCATAGGCGACTGGAGCCAAGGATTCGAGGAGGAGAACAATGGTTGCCTTGTGACAACACTTCGCAAGAAGTTGATGTCGTCGTCCGCTTTCCCTTTCCTGTCCGTCCACCTCGCCAAGAAGCCGCCGTCGTCCTCGTCACATATCCCGGCCCCGTTTTACAATCATTCATCGGTTTGCTACATCCCGCTCCTCCCTCCCTCCCCGGTCAGTTCTAAGCAGCAGTGAGAGTGTGTGGGCAGCAGCAGCAGGTCGCTCGAGCGGGGTGTCCTGCGTCGAACGTCAAGGGGTGCCGTGCCCCCGGGGTGACCGCTACTGACGACGGTGGCGTGAAAATGGGAATGGAATGGAAACGATGGTTTCTTTCTTAATGGCGATGGGAGCTTCGTATGTGTCTGGCGTGTATGTATGTGTGTGTGTGTATTTCTGTGCATGTATGCGTATGTGTCACTGGCGCGTTTCGCAGGCGTGCTTCTGATATGGGCAAACCGCAGCTGCTGTCCGCTGCGTTGACGAATATTATAACCATTATTTACTTACAATCATTCATCGGTATAGGGCTATATCCGCCCTCGCGGATGCTTTCGGTGCTGTTGCTTTGTACCATACCACACACCGTTCACGCTTGTTTTGCCGCAAAGCAACAAAAGCAGGACCGACCCGCGTATGCGGGTTGTGCCGATGTGCAATACATATAGAGGATTCGTCGGATTCATTAAATATGCCCGCCTGGGTTTTGGATGTGTGGCGCGTGTGAACGCCGTGGTGGCGCAAATGGGCGCTGAATAATGTCGATTGGTTACACCAAGGGAGGCAGGAAGGGATTTGCCTGGTAGGTGCTAGTGCTGTATGCTGCCATTATGAGAGCGATCGAAGTAGTGATGTGAGCTGCGAAGGCGCTCGCTCTACTTACGTCGAGAGGCAGGGGTTCCAGTTTTACACGAATTTGTGAATTCGCCCATCAGATTTTTGTCTGTCAATGGGCCATCTAGCCTTATACACGCCCTATACAACATGTCGAGTACATATTTTGCCATCGTTTTTGTGTATAATATCATATGCGCCGTTCAGTTGCTTTACTGTTTGCTTTACTGCAGCAGTGTGCTTTATTGGATAATTGATTGCAGTTCGCTGCTTTGGTGGCCGTTTTTCCCCCCCCTTTTGGGAGTCTGCCGTCGGGAAAGCCATTCCCGGTCCGCAGCGGTTGGCAAACACTGATGCACACGGCCAATAAGCAAACACGCCTGGACATTCATTGCCTGCTGTGCTTTGGGAGTGCGCATGGTCTTTTCCTCGCCCCATGCCATATGGCAATACGTGTTGTCTACTAGTAGGCATACACATTGTGATTTTTTACACCACAGCATGAGGACGCTTTTTTCGGAGTAACGGAGAGCGGCAGGGCGCCTCCTCTTTCTCCTCGGTTTCCCCAACTTCTTCGTTAAAGACTTTAAGACGCTCTTATATATGCGCTGACATGATATGTATTTAACGGCGGCTATAAAGTCACAGAGTCCACAGACAACGTGTGACATGACGACGAACACACTCTATCTGGATGGGGCCAACTAACGATGCTGTTGTCACCCCCACCATCACGCATCGCAACCTATTTCACAGATAATCAAGTCACAGATAATCCACACGATATTTCGCATGTATTATACATAATATATTACACGAGTTAAGTAGATAATATGTACTGCATGACGGCGTAGGATCCCATATTAACGGTTTTGCCCTTCGCAAGGGCGGGGGGGATTTATACGTGAATATGTGTAATATGATATGATCAATCGGACGCGGATGTAATTAATAATGACAGTATAGCACATATAATATAAAAATACATCAGTAAGAACGACTCGGAAGATACCTAGTGGCCACCGCTGCCCCTTTGTAAGTAACTTGCTGCCCCCTACGTCCCAACAGCATATCAGCGACATCAGCAGAAAATACGATGAACATGTAACAGCGGCTCGTTTGCCGCTGCACTTCCCTCCCCCACCTCTCTCCCTACTGGCGCCCCAGTACCCCCCTTCCTGCCCTCATCATACACAGCAACCCCCCCAGTGTGTGTGTTCGTCCCCCCGCCAAACATTTCTCTCCCCCTTCCTCCCCTCCTCGCCACCCCCGCCATCGTCCTCTCGTCGGCGCTTCGCTCGTTCAGTCGTGGAGGGGCGCGGGGTAGATGGCTGGAGGCAAGCCGCCAGTCGACGGCGCACGACTGCCAGTCATGAAACTGTACGGCGCTGAGACATTGGCAGCATTGACTGGCAGCAGCTGCGGCGGCAGTGGTAGCGCCGACGGGGATGTGGCGGTACCGGCGGGCACCACCGCGGCGGGCTCCAGTTGCCAAGTCCTCGGTGATAGGACCAGCGGCGGCGGGTTGACGGAGGCGGCGGCGGCGGCGGCGGCGGCGAGACTGCTGGCGGCGGCGGTACCCAGGCCTGGTACCATAGCAGCTGTGCCGGCATGGGCTGGCGGCAGAG